GTGCCCAAGTACTGGTGGTTTAAGTCTTGAGTTCGAATCCAAGCCCACTAAAAGAAACGACACAATGGGCCTGCCAACTACTACTTCAAAGCTGACCCCACACCGCCTAACCCCGTTTCAACCACCACTACCTTTCTCAGTGTCAGGAAAAATGGCAATATGGAAGAAGGTGAGCGGAGGGACCGGCGTGTGCTCCTGCGTCGCTCCGCTACTGCGTTGAGCGCCTGCGCCGCCGCAAGGCTCGGTGAAGTTACCACGGTAACTACACGGCCATCGCCATGTTACTCACAGCCATAGCCAGCCTCCCTTCCTTCCTGGAGTAGGAGGGGCGGCACGAACCCAGCTTTGCCAGCGAGATACTCACTCCGCTCGGCTTGGGTTGGTGCTTGGTGGCCGGTCCTAGCCAGCCCTATTGCCTTACAACGTTTTTACCATAGTGAACTCAGCTACATAGTTCTACTCACTTTCTACACATCCTTACCAGCGCAACGCCCCAGACGGGCGTTTCGCTACAGCAGTAAACAGGACTACATCACATCGCAGCGAGGAACTCCTCTCAAGAACGGAGACAAGATTCTCGGCTTTCTCCTCTCCGGGCCGGTGTTTCGAGAAAGGAAGGTTCTTTTCTGTCAGGTAACGAAGGGCAAGATTCCAAATTCCTGCTTGTCATGTGGGCCCTACTACAATGATGGTCGCTCCCTTACCATAAATTATCTAATTCCCCTTCTCCCCTCCTCCCCCTCCCCGCATCTCTGGCCCCGACTTCACTATTCATAGTAATATTCCCATAATTATTGACAGTAGGATGGACGTTTCGGGTCCGCCCTCCTCTTCCTTAGGAATACGGTTCTCTCAGTGCTTCAGCGAGAGGACCGAACAACACATCTTCCCCACCTCCGAGTCTCACCTAACCTTTAGATTTTCCCCAATACTCCACTCCACGATATCTCTACTCACTTCCCCCCCCGCAATTAGTCCCCCACTTAGCCTAAACTATAGAAGGTTCCCCCCCCCACGCTGAGTTTTCCAGGCGTATTCTTACACAGGCGCAGTGATAGATCGCCTGCTCCGGTCGCTCTACCCTAACCCTACGCATAGGCAGCCCACTGGTCTCCACCCACTACTTAGGCTGCACCAACCTAACAGGTTCTCTCCCCCTGAAACCTCGAAAGAGGAACCAAGCTGAATACAGACAGCGATAACACGCTCATAGATCCAGGATGGCAATGCCCGAAGACTCGTTTAACACCGAATGCACCTGCCCGCAGAACCGTTCTTTTTAATCCTGGTTGAGTATTCTCTTTTATTTAGCAACACCCAGCAGTAATTCACTCACAATTATCCATTTACTTGCTATCATTTGACCATTGAGCACTATTACTTTCGGTGGGCCAGTAACAATTACGGATAGGACTAATTACAAACGGACACGCCACCAAACACACACGCCCTATATTGATTTTTTTGTTGGTTGGGGTTGCACCTGATTTTTGAAATTGATATCGTTAGTTAAACTGATATAGTCCTTTTTTACACCACTCATTATCACCTATTACTAACGGATATCAGATCCCTCTGATCCAAATTCTGATTTCCGCGACCATTTGTAGTAGATAGGCACTGCAGCATGGGATGCTTGGCAACAAAATAAGAGTTTTTAGTCAAGTATCTCCCTCGATACTGGAGCTCAACCTCTAGAGCTCACGAACACCGCCTCAGTCCTCACTTAGGAAAACATGCACGCCTCTCGCTTGGTCTGTAGCGCCCCAACCCTCCGGTTAGGGATGATGGAGGCACCGGCGGGTGATACGGTGAAGCCTGATGCTGAACCGCAGCTGCCCGTCGATATCTCATCATTGCCAGAGGAAGAGCTTACCCACCTCACCAATTTGGTGGGGGGATGGTACATCAACCACGAGACACAAGATGTCTCTCAATACATTGAGGCTACCGTGGACGAAGAAACAAGTTGTATCGAAATCGGACCGAACGAGACAATCCGTGCAGTCGAGGAAGACTTCCTCAAAACGATGGGTGTCGCAATTCTCTTCCAGGGAGAGGCAAAGAACATGAGGAATGATAAGAAAATTGATTTGATTTGTTCACTCGAAGACGCGCTGCTACTTGAAGACAAACTCATATCTCACAGGGGCCTGACATACATAGAGAGCAAAGCGCATGTCACTTACATCGCTAAATACCCAGAAATTGTTGATTGGTTGATTACAAAAGGGTGCGAACGATTTGTGGATAAAACTAAGACGTACAAAATCCTCTTTAGACCCTGGATGCCTCGCGCAGACTGGATTCAACCCTGGGAAGAAGAGAAAAGGAAGATTTACTGGGTAATGACAATCAGATTTCCGATAAATGCCTCCTTTTACATTAAGTATGGTATTGAGCAGGTCATGGGGAAAGTCATCACGGAATATGAAATCATCAGAGACCCGATTGATCCTAGGATAGGCAACCTGAAATTCGGCCTCCACCCAGAGGCAGAGGCTAAATATGTCAGGACCATCAAAGTCTTCACCGACAAGGAGCACCTGACGGAAGACCTGGTAAACAACAATCACCCATGGTGCAAAGGCTGCAACCGGTATGTCAGATCACCGGAGGAGTGCCTCTGCACTGAGGGGGGGACTGATAACGACCTTGCAAAGCCAGTTCGAGCATCCCCACTGGCGGGACAAGGTTCTGCCTCCCTCGGGAAGGGGACGATCCCCACTCCTGGTCCATTCCCACCAACGAGATCGAATCCAGGAGTCCCCCGAAGCAAATCTCCATCACCCCAGGACAAAGGTCAGTCCTCGAACTCATTCCAATGGTTGAATCCTCATCTCCAGTCTCCACACGAGGGAGGAAGAGGACAACAAGGACAGAGTAGAGGCAAACCACAGTCCCAGGGTCGGGGTAAGAGCCACCCGGATAAAACCACCCACAATCCATCAGTCGCTGGCCCATCAGCTGTTACACCTGCACAGATACTCAAGGTACCAATAGACAACAGCAGATTGAAATGGGTACAGAAGGTCCAACAATGGAAAGATCCCAACTTCCAGTCTTCCGCCAAAGATGGTAGTACGTCTAGTTCAGGGATGAACGCTTCATCGGGAGACAACAAAAGCCCTAAGGGGCCTCAGGCTCCTGGTAACTCCCCTGCCGCTCCCAATGCATGGGGTGGTGGGTCAGGCAGTGTCACCACACCCGGGTCGAATGTCCCGGGCCTGGACACGGCCATGGTGATGGACATGAACTTCAGATACGATACGATAAAACGTACCAGGCCGCTGGATTTTGATGATAATCACTCGGAATCCCCCAGACCTTCTGGGTCTCAGCAGACTGGGCAAAATAGCCGCAAAGAGTCTAGCGTGGCTATCCCCCTTATCTTCAAATCAACGAACCAAGGTCCATGTCTCCTTCTGCAAATAAACGAACATGGAGGCTACAACATTGCATACAGTTCCCTACAATCTCCACCGGACCCAGTCACAATGCTGAAACTGGGTATGGGGCTGGTTCATAACAGATTCGCTGTCAGACCTATCCCGAGCCAGCCCCTACTCAATTTCAGCAAAGTCGGCGCTTCAGGGAAAATTTACACTCTGCACGCGTTGTGCCTTAATGCCACAGCCATCCCTGACGTGGATCCAGCGAAGGCTGGAAAAGGCTTCTACTGGGCCCCTCTGAGTTGGTTCAAGGCCAGCAGTGGCGAGAGGATGATCCCAGTTTTGGGGGACGACATCAGAGGGGAACTAATCACGGAAATCAACGAAATGCTTCAGAGCGAGCTTAAGCTCTTTTCTCGCCACTTCGCAGAGTTGATCAGAACCCCTTGGGACCAGGCAGTCATCCAGGATGCCATTGGAAGAGCTAAAGTAGCAAGTGCAAAAACAGTTCCAGGCGCCATCCAACCCAAGGCACCGTCCGCTGCTGCGGATGGCGTATAGAGTTAAGATAACGTCATGGAACGTTCATGGTTTAATAGATGGTAATGGGAAATACAAAAGGGCACAACTTAAGAGTTGGATTCACCAAAGCAAGGCCCATATAATATTACTACAGGAAACCAAGCTCAACAACGACAGGATGACGGAGCTCGGAAACTGGTGGACCAGCCCACAGGCCTGGTCCCCAACAGATGGCACAAAGAGCGGCACAACAATCCTAATTCACAGCGCCTGGCCAAATCGGTTTCCGAGGTAGAAACAGATAAGGCAGGCAGATGGGTTAAATTATCCTGCCTAATTGACGACCAAAACTGGCGCATCTGCTCAGTGTATGCACCTGCAGATCATACCTCAAAAGTGGATTTTTTTCACTCCTTACAAGATGTCATCCCCCACATTGAGTACCTGGTGGTAGGGGGTGACTTGAACACAGTCCCCAATGCTGGTATGGACTCATCCACGACCCTCTCCCATCATGCGGAGTCATGGGCCCTGAATGAGTTGGTCGCGGATAAGGGCCTATTTGACCCTTTCCGACTCCTCCAACCCTAAACACAAACGTTTTCTTGGTTCTCAGCACCCTCAGGTGAGGACGGCACTGTCGTGCGACGGAGGTTAGATGTTATCTTTGTCAGTGAACAAATACTTCCTTCAGTACTCCAAGCCGAAATTACCGCCGATCCCCTATCCAACCACAAGCCAGTTTCCCTTACTGTTTTTGGAACTAGCGGTCTGGTTAAAGGCAGAGAAACCTTCAAACTGAATATGCAAATCATGGATAACAAAGATATGACTGAATGGACATGAAACTTCTAGGAAGAATGGAGAAACTCGACCTCCCTCTTCCCAGATCCGGGGGACTGGCTAGACAATAGGTTGCACCTCATGTCAGCCTTTCTCTAAATGATCTCAAGAGTTAAGGCCATAAACAGAAAATACGATGAGATAAAATTGAAAAGAAACATTGAAAAGGCAGAACGACAACTCGACTGTAATACCTTTTCCGATTCTTACTGGCTAGCGAGACACACTCAATGGCTACAAGAGTGGCAAGGCGTACAAATAAATAAACACGAATCCGGGGCTGAATATAAAATGATTGACAATATTCTCACAAGGGATCGGATGAACAACACTACATTAAAGGTTGCACAAGATGATAAGAAGTCGCAGATGATCACAAAACTCGCCCATCCCTTCGACTCAGCAAGGCCAAAAACCCATGCGTCAGATAGGATATGCGAGTATGTTCGTCTATTTTATGAACAACTATTAACGACAGAAAATGACCCTTTTATCCCATTGGTTGCCCCAGACATGGAACGCATGCTCTGGGGGTCCACCGACAGGGTACTCACAGCCATAGAGGAGACTGACCTAGACCAGCCAATTTCGTTCACTGAGCTCACGGCGGCAATGCGCAACATGACCATGGGTAAATGCCCGGGGCCTGATGGTTTCCCAATAGAGTTCTACGATAAGTTTTGGAACCTGCTGGGTCCGGACCTCCTAAGGGTTTTCAATAATGTTCTACAGGATAAACCACTGGGCACTTGCATTACGGAAGGGGTTATTACCCTCCTCTACAAAAAGGGTGATCGATCCGATATACGAAATGATCGTCTGATTTCACTATTAAATGTCTCAGGCAAAATCCTACCTCAAACTCTTGCTAGAAGACTAACACTACTCATGACCAGACCGGTAGCCCCGGATCAGTCCGGATTTATACCAGGAAGGCTGGTCTTGAATAATGTAATGACAATTTCACAATCCCTCGACCTTATCAAAATGAGGAATGCCAACAATGCGGTTATTGTCATAGACTTCGAGAAAGCTTATGACCTTGTTAATTGGAACTTCCTACAAGAAGTGTTGAAACGAGTTGGTATAGGCCCTAACTTGAGGAAATGGGTCAATGCTTTATACTGTGGGTTGCACGGTAGAGTAGTAGTCAATGGCTTACTATCCAAATCCTTCACAGTCAGCAGATCACTGAGGCAAGGGTGTCCCCTTGCCCCCTCCTTCTTCGTAATACAGCTGGAAGTATTGTTGAACATGATTCGTACTCACGAGGGGTATAAGGGTTTGAAGATAAACCCGAGCTACGAACTGAGAGTGTCCGCCCTGGCGGACGATTTTTCGGTCATATCAGAGAACACGGTGACCTCTTTGACAGCCTTGAAAGACTGTCTGTCCGTTTACGAACACGCCTCAGAAATGAAAGTCACTTGGAGTAAATCCACTGTCTTAATGTCAGAAGGGACTACTCTCGCAGTGGACTTGGGTATGAAGGTTATCCAAAACTTTGACGCAGAACGTTACCTGAGAATCTTAGTCTCCTTTGGTGACTGCAGTAAAGAACAGACAACAATTCTTGAGACACGTATATGGGACGCTTGTTCTAAGTACTCCAAAAGCACCAACCTTTCACTGTTCGGCAGAGCACTGGTGGCTAATACAACCATTCTCTCTACAGGATGGTATATATTGGCCATCAAACCATTATCTACCTCCTCGGCATCACTAATCAGACAACTTCTCACCCGTTTCATCTGGAAGGGGGACTCAAATGGTCCCTCCTGCATCAACAAGGTTGCATGGTGGAAGCTCACGGAGAAGAAGGGTCAAGGAGGCCTAGGCATCCTGGACCCAGAAAGATAAAATCACGCCCTGCTCGCTAAGTGGCCGGTGGAACTACTCACCACCACTGAACCCCACCCATGGATTATAATCGCCCAAGCACTACTGGCAGAGGACTGGGGCCTAAGGGACCCAGAAGCTGTATGGCAAGCCTTACTGATGTATCCAATCCTAACCTCAGTCAAGTCACTTCCATGGTTCCCCATATTAAAGGACTGGAGCCACTTACTACCGTACACTATCTCCTCCCCCTCAGATCACCTACAAATCTTATCACCTACTTGTTCGAAAACCAGGAAATCACCGACGCAACTGGACACACCTTCTCAATAGCCAATAAGCCAGGGAGTTTCGGGCGGCGCTGGCTGCAGAGAGGGGTATCGCAGATTCGACATCTCCTCGACCAACACACAGGAATGTGGCACTCAGCGGGCACGCTGAGGACTAAATTGGGTAACCTTCGGAGAATAGAAGAGCAAAGAAGCCTGCTGATTGAGGCTATACCAGAAGGTTGGGTCAAAATTATGAGGGAACCACATCAACAGTGGAGAGCCGGCTCATGGTGGCGGCGACGAAGCTGCACAAAGACATTCTGTCGAATAAAACCCGGGGTTAACGGACCCGCGTGTCAAATAACAAGATGGAGACTGAAGGAGGGACTGTTGTACCGGCAAGGTGAGTCGGAGGAACTTCATGACAAGAATGATTGGTCTGAGATCAGAGTGTGCGAATCCATGCAGGGTAACAAGCAGAAATTATCCCCAGGATAGGCTGGTCCATACAGGACTAGTCAGTTGTTGGGACGTAGAAACTGATTACAGAATACTCTTCCAATATACTCTAAGATCCAAGACCTCCTCTATCCAAGCTTTGATTTGGAACAACTGGAGGAAGAAGACGCAGTCCACTAATACTCAACCCCCCAGCAATACCTGGGTCCCATTCTATATCACATTGCTACTAAGTATAACAAAGGTTAAAATGGCAGGTCTGCAATGGCTTCACCTCCATACATTTGTTCCAACGGCTACATGGTGTGCAGAAAGAGGTATGACAATCAACACTGCATGCGATGCCTGCCCCAACGAAGCACTGGAGGACTACAACCACCTCTGGTGGGGTGGGAATGTGTGGTTGCGAGGGGCTTCTGGGAAAGACTCCCCCGTATGTGTTTTTTTGCCTGTGGTCCGGAGCCACTCTGGACCAGAGACTTTGTCATTTTTGGTAGCGCCGACAAGGCTCATAACGTGGTTATAGCAAACAAATTTCGTACAATTTGCTTTTGGATTTTGTGGTTAGCAAGGCGTGATAGACGGTTTAAAGGAAAGGTGTGGTCAGAGTATGCTGTTCGGAACAAATTTAAGTTCGCAGCCAGCAATCTGATGGCCACAGAATGGAGAAAGACAAGGCAGGGAAGTCCTACTTTGCAGGTGGTAGAGAACTTCCTCCGGAGATGGAGTAGGACCTTCAAATGGGCTCATCTCTCTTCTCACAACCACCTGGTGGTCACAAGGCACTTGTGGGACGAGTTAGAGGAGGTCCAAATAGTGCCCTGAGATTCTGTTTTAGTATTTTTTGCGGTTTTTATCTTATTTGTCAAGTTTTTACTTCTTTCACGAGCTATGCATTTTAGGACACTAGACCCGGTTTCCACCTTCAGCCTATCCTGGGTAATGGCCCCAGTTCCCGGGTTGAGATGTGGAGGGATTCCCAACCTCCTGTGTTCATGATTTCAACATGCAAGTTTGATTGTTAAAAAAAAAAAAAAAAAAAAAAAAAAGGCAATATATATAGCCTTTAGGCCCTATACAAAGGTCGTGCAGACTCGGCCTCCCACTCAATGAAAAAAAAAATATATATATATATATATATATTGGGGGAAAAAAAACGAAAAGGTTGTGCAGGCTGAGGTTTAGGGCTCATTAGACACTCCTCGGGGATGCAAAATCCCCAAGGAATTGTTCTTTCCACCTATCCTCGGGGATGCAATCGAGAAAAAAAGTGAAAACACTCATAAGGAAATTGCTCGAGCAATAGGACTTTCCCCAACCATTTCTTCCTATTGCCCAAGGGACCTCGCCTCCCTTGGGCACAAGGAATCTGCGTTTCACGGAGAGGAGAGGGCACACGCGTAGAGAGACGCTGCAGCCAAGAATCTGGATCGTGGCGGTACCCTATTGGCTAAAGGCCTGAAGCACAACTGTTTTTTCTTTTCTTTTCCTTTTTCCTTTTCTAACATCGCTCTGAGGGAATCTCCTCGGACGAATTCTGAGGTCCCCAGCCTCGTTCAAATAATTTGGAATATAATTGTTCTGTGTTTTGGAAAAAAAAAAAAAAAACTCCTCGGGCAACGTCCCCGAGGACAGGTGGAACGACGACGCAAATTTCCTTTTGAACCATTAGGAATTTTTCCTACTTCCCGAGGAT